AGCCCCTCGCAAACGCCTTTGAGCCCATGTGCTTTTGGAGGCAGCCCCCCCCGGCCTAGTTTCCCCCCGGGTGCGTGGGACTGGGTGCTCCCGCAGGGGAGGAGCTGGCGCTGGGGCGCCCACCGTGCCCACCGCCCACACCTGTCACCGTGAGCTCTGCGCCCGGGCTCTCCTTAATGTGCACCCGCGGGGCGAGGGAGATGGCGCCGCACAGGTAGCCGCCGCTGTCCTTGCGCTGGGTGGCCAGGATGCGCATGTGGAAGTCGCTCCTGCTGGGCAGCTGCCACACCTGGAAGCGGGGGTCCGGGCCCGGCTGGCTCTGGCCCTTGTGGAAGGCCGCCAGCTTCTTTGTCTGGTTGTTGGGCTCCAAGCGGTACCAGTTCAACACTAGGTTCTCGGACCAGTTGGAGAAGCTGCAGGTGAAGGTGGCGTCAGCCCCCTCGGACACCGTGAGCTGCGCTGGGGAGAAGGTGGGGGGGCTCCAGGGCCTCTCCGGGGACTCTGAGGAGGACAAGACCACCAGCTGTGAGGAGGAGGCTCGGCCTACCCTCCCAGTGCCCCCCAGTCCCCGCAGCCTGCTCTAAGCACTTGCCGGCGGCCGTGACTTTACTGAGACCCAAGGCTGGGGCTCTGGTCCTAATCCTCCAGAGTCTGTGCTGCGGTCTCCCAGGCTTTCTCTCAGGGCTCCAGGAGGGGAAGCCAGGTCAGAGGAGCCTTTGGCCTGCCAGGTAGAGCACATGGCCTTGGGGGGAGACCCTGGAATCAGCCTGGGCCAGGTGGGAGCCATGTGGCCGAGGGGCTCAGCAAAAAGAAGAGGTGCCTAGCCCTCCCGGAGGACGGGCAGGGCCTCAGGCGCACCCTGGGCTTTTCCCACACTGGGATGCCTGTGGCTACAGGGACAGACTGGAGTCAGAGAAGTGCCTTATGTGCCTGTGCAGGAAATTGGTGTGGTCAGAAAACACAGGGCCACTCAGAGGTCTGGTTTGTAGGACAGGGTCTCAGCATGTAGCCAGGAGCTGGAGACCCTGCTCAGCCTCCAGGGTTAGGGCATTAGGAGTGCGTGCGTGTGTGTGTGTGTGTGTGCACGCGTGTGTGTGTGTGTGTGATGGTGATGATGGTGATGGTGATGGTGATACTGATGGTGATGGTGATGATGGTGATGGTGATGATGATGGTGATGGTGTGGGGTTGAACTCCAAGCCTCAGTCCCTATGCAGGCATACAGGACACTGAGCCAGACCTCCGTTCCTCTGTTTCCCGCTCATCTTTAGGGTACTCTTGCCTCCTGCTCGCACATGCCTGCACTGAGCTGCCCACGTTAGGGCGCCTGTTATTACTGAGATCCCAGACTCATGACACCAGCTCTAGGCTCTCTCTGTGGAGATGGAGTCTCATACTTTTCTGCCTACGCTGACCTAGAACCACAGTTCTCCTGTTCTCAACTGCCCAAGAGAGTAGGATCACAGCGGTAAACCACCAGCACCTGGCTTGAAGAAGACACTTTGTGTGCGTGTTGGTAACGGAACTTGAACTCAGGACCTGGATATTGTCCCTTAGTATGAGGAAAGGCGTGGTGCTGCACGCACGTGTCAGGGGAGAGGGCACAGGTCCCAAGGGTCTGTCGTGACGCTCAAGCAGTGCCACACCTCAACAGGATGTGTGCGGGGATGGGAAATGCTAGTACCACGAGTACTCCGAGCATGCACGGAGTACCAGCCATACTAGGAGTGTGTGCCAGGTGTGCCCTGAGCACACACAGAGCCCAGTCCTTACTAGGAGTGTGTGCCAAGTGTGCCCTGAGCACACACAGAGCCCAGTCCTTACTAGGAGTGTGTGCCAAGTGTGTCTGAGCACACACGGAGCCCTGCCCTTACTAGGAGTGTGTGCCAAGTGTGCCCTGAACACACACGGAGCCCTGTCCTTACTAGGAGTGTGTGCCAAGTGTGTCTGAGCACACACGGAGCCCTTCCCTTACTAGGAGTGTGTGCCAAGTGTGTCTGAGCACACACGGAGCCCTGCCCTTACTAGGATTGTGTGCCAAGTGTGTGAGCACACACAGAGCCCTGTCCTTACTAGGAGTGTGTGCCAAGTGTGCCCTGAGCACACACGGAGCCCTGTCCTTACTAGGAGTTGGGATGCAATGTGGCCCTTCATGCCACCTAGAAGGATGGACACCTTGCTGAACACAGAAGTGTGGACCCTCACCACGCTCATTGGGACCAAGGCCGGGTGGGAGGAACGCTTTTAAATGCAAAGGGCCTGAAGTGGCCAGCACCCAGGCCGGAGGGCAGCCCGGCTCCTTTGCTGCAGGTGGAGCAAAGGACAAGCCAGCTTGGGACTGGCTGCCTCCAGACCCCGAGATGACAAATTCTTGTCTTCCAAGCCCAGGGTGCAAGGCCAGAGCAAAGGTCTAGTGTGCACGGCCACGGTGGCCCTACCTGCTCTGCAGTGCTCAGGGGCCAGCTCGCGTTTGGGACCAGCCTGGGCTGTGTGGAGACACCCCCCCCTTGTCACATGCATACAGAGCAAGAGGGGTCAGGCCCAGACCGGCCCAGTCCACACGGTGAGTAAACGAAGGTGAAAAAAGGTACGTCCTGAGACCCATAGTGGGCAGGGCTGGGGGTGCCCAAGACGAGCAGAGAGCAGGACCTGGCCTCCACAAAGGGTCTCCGTGGAGTGCGGGGCGGGGGCCGGGACGGGGTGCCACACGGAAGATTCCTCCCGCTCAGGCCGCGCTGGAGGCTGGAGGCATCAGCCTCACCCCCTCGCTTCCTCACTGCGCCTCGGGTGACCCGTGGGCTTCAGTACGGTGCCCCGGTACTGCCAGCCTCGGCCAGGGACCGTGACGCGCCCCTCACGGGTATCTTAGCTACAGTCCTGGGACCACTGTTTCAGAGACCAACCACAAGCCTTCCACCAGGGGTCCCGATGGGGATGCTCCCCGCCAGGCCACCGCCCGCTGCTGCGGGGAGTGGCGGCAGCGGCTGGAGGGAGAGCCCCGGGGCGCGGGCCTGAGGACTGCCCTGCCCCGAATGGGGGTCGCCTGTGTGGGCCCTTCCACACCCGTCGCTCCAACACAACACACACACACACACACACACACACAACACATATGCACGCACACACACATACCACACACACACACACCACACATGCACACAACACACACAACACACAACACACACACATGCACGCACACACAACACACACATACACAACACACACATACACACACATGCACGCACACACACAACACACAACACACACATGCACGCACACACACAACACACATACACAACACACACACAACACACACATGCACGCACACATGCACACACACACCACACACGCACACACGCACACACGCACACAACACACACAACACACAACACACACATGCACACACACACAACACACATACACAACACACACATGCACGCACACACACAACACACACATACACAACACACACAACACACACATGCACGCACAACACAACACACACAACACACAACACACACACACATGCACACAACACAACACACATGCATGCACACACACGCACACACACGCATGCACGCACACACAACACACACGCACTCATGCACACACAACACATACACGCACATGCACACATGCATGCACACACGCACACACGTGCACACACACATGCACATGCACACACACACACACACACACACACACACGCCTAGGCCCAGGCCCGGATCCTCAGGGCCGAGAGTCCAGGGTGGAGAGGGGGAGCACTGGGAGCTGCTCAGGTCACAGGTGTCCCTGGAGCTGGCAGTGGGCGGCCCTGGGGGCCCCCAGGTCGGACCCTGGCCTCCCCTCACACGGAGCCTGGGTCGTCCAGAGTCAGGAGCAAGGCGTACGCTGAGCTCAGGACGGGCTGGGGAGACATTCGTGTGAGGAAGACTCAGGTGAGCCCCAGGGCCCGGCCAGCACAGCCTCCACGCAGGCCCACACACCACGGCGAGGCCGGAGCTCCGGCCTCTCCAGAGGGGGACACTGGCTGGACACCTCGGCCCAGCTGGGCGCCAAGGACCAGCTGAGCTGGGACCAAAGTCCTCCCTGCTCAAGAGCAGAGGCCAGTGGGCCCAGAGAACAGAGAGGCACCCTGCCTGCCAGAACCACACAGGGCAGGGCCAAGGACTGGCCTGGGTGCCCAGAGGACTGGCCCTCCCAGGGACAGAGCCGGAGGGCAGGAGGTCCCTCCAAGCCGGACTCCGCGGTCAACACCCACACCCCAGCCCAGCCCGCGCCCCCAGGAGCTCACGTACCTAGAAGCCACCCGGGCCACCAGCCCAGCTGCAGCACGGCCCAGGCCAGCGGCCAGGGCACCCGCATGCCCAGCTTCAGCTGCACTCACCCACGGTGGCCGCTTCCTTGAGCAAAGGTGGCAGTGGAAAGGAAACTGGCAGGCAGGGTCAGGTTGGGAGGAGGCGGCCACCATAGACCCCTCCCTCTTCCTCCACCTCCACAGGGGTGGGCCCTGAGAGGACGGGAGGGTGTGGGGAGCTGGAAGGGGCGGGAATGAGAAGAGAGTAGAGAGGGAGGAAGAGGGGGAGGAGCAGGAAAAGAGGAAGGGGAGGAGGAGGGGGAGGAGGAAGAGCAGGCGTGGGTGGGGGAGTCAGCGCTTTGCCCCTCACTGTGGGGAGTCTGTACCTCAGGCCTCTCCCCTGGACACTGGGATGTTTTGGTCCTTTCTTTGGGGGCTGGGAGAGGGTTCTGCCCCTCTCTCTGGGCTCGGCCGGTGGGACCCACCCTACCCTGTGCAGATGGACAGGTGCAGGCCGGAGCCCCAGAGCTCCAGGAGGAGCAGCAAAGCTGGCCGTCTGCCCCCCCTGCATGCCTGGGGTCAGGTGCCCGCTCCAGCACTTGGCCTGCTGGACAGGGGAGGCCAGCTGGTGGGCAGCAGGCCCCGGCACCCAGCCTGGGGGGTTGGGGACGTGCTCTTTCCTAGCCCAGGGGCCTAGACGTGAGGCCTTGAACCCCGAACCTTCTCTGGGGCGAAACCCTTTTTCTGGTCATGCCCAGGGCTCTGGCCTCTCTCTCTGTTGCACAGTGGCCTTGGGTTTTTCTCATCTGCCCTCTCTTCCTGGCTGACTTCCCCTTTGCCTTGCTGCACACCTCTCAGTCAGTTCTTTCCAGACCTTTCTTCAGCCTCCGTGGATGGCTGATTTCCTGCCCTCTGCGCCCTGGGTTGGGGTGAGGCCAGCCTGGCCTCCTCCCCGCTCCCCGCCTCGTTACTTGTGGCGAGCTCTGGTTGTTTCATGGTGTTATACTCTAAGCTTTGACCATGATGAATGGAAAACAGGAAAAATGAAACTGCTGATATTAGTGATGATATGTGTGGGTCGCAGCACCCTAAAATAACCAGCAGGGCTGGAAACTGCCTGGCTGTGCCTCAGGGGGAGCCAGGCTGGGCTGGAAGGAAACGTTACCGAACACCGTGGAAAAAGAGCGTCAGCGGCTGCCGGCGAGGGCCACAGGGCGCTTGCTCAGCAGGTGCTTCGCTGCTGTTCTCAAGTCTCAGCCTGGGGTCGGGGTGTAGGGAGGACTGGGGGTTCCCCTTGCCCAGACCCAGCAGAGGAGCCACACTGCAGGCCTGCCCTGCATGGCCTCCCAGGGAGCGGCGGCTCCCAGAGCGGCAGGTCAGCCTGTCCTGCTACTGGACCAGGCAGCAGGGCTGGGATTGGCCAGGAGGCCACAGGCAGGAGGGCTGGGATTGGCTGGGAGCTGTGACTGGCTGGGGGCTGACTCTGGACAGAACCCACTCAGTCACTCCTCTACTCTTTGTCTGGGGTTTACTGTTGGTCCCCATCCTCCTGTGGGACCAACCCCAGTGCTCGGTGCTCTGTGTGGACAAAGCTCTCCACTGAGGACTGGAGGTGTGGTTGCCTGGGTGGGAAGATGTCTGGCTCCAGGCCTGTGTGGGGAGGGAGGGAGGGGCCTCTGCTTGTGCCCCCCTCCTCTGCACCTCTGCCTTCTCTCTCCTCTTCCCTCCCCCACCCCTCTTCCTACCTGGGCAGGGACTGGGTGGTGTGCCAAGGCTCACAAAGCTTATGAGCAGTAGGATGAGGATTCTGATGGAGGCTTGTGTGGCTCCCGGAACCTTCTGAAGGACACGTGGCCCAGGGAGGGTCTGGGGACTTCTGGCGTCCAGAATAGGAGCCTAGAGATGGAGGAATGGCTGTCCAGGCCTGGGGTAGGCGAGCTGCACCCTGACACCACACTCTCAGCCATGTTCCCCCAGCACACACCTCTCAACACAGCCTCCCCAGACACGCACAGGCCGTGACATACATACCACCCCAGAACAGGGCACCCCCAACACATGGGAGCCCAGCAACGCTATCCTCAACACACATAGCCCTCACACACTGCTGAACACACCCACAAGCCACAATGCCAGCACGCACAGTTCCAACACACATAAGCACAACTCCCACAATTCCCCACCACACACACACAATGTCAGCACTCATATACACCCTGTTGGCACCCTAGCCCTCTTCGATAAAGAGGAAGATGCTGGGCTGGAGGGCCGTTAGCCTTCCTGACCCTACTTCCTAGCAGGGGTCACGGCCAGAGGGGGCCCGCGTGGAGCCGGGCTGGCCACGGGGTCAGGCCTTCTGAGATGCGGAGGCAGACGCTGCTCCTTTGCTCGTTTCTCCTCACGACCCAGCACAGGATGTGCCAGCAAGGGAGGCTTCGTTCAGTGACCCAGAGCCTGGGTGAGCACATTGCCTGTGCACTGTCACCCCAGGGGACAGGCTGCCAGGCTGTGGCCTAATGCAGGTGCATCACACACCGCAGTGTGACACAGCGGCCAACCCAACATTGGACTTGCCACGTGTACTGCGTCCTGTGCTCTGTCCACATGTACTGTGCCCTGGGGTCTGTCCACGTGTACTGCACCCCATGATCTGTCCATGTGTACTGTGTCCTGTGGTCTGTCCATGTGTACTGCGCCCTGTGGTCTGTCCACGTGTACTGTGTCCTGTGGTCTGTCCACATGTACTGTGCCCTGGGGTCTGTCCACGTGTACTGCATCCTGTGGTCTGTCCATGTGTACTGCGTCCTGTGGTCTGTCCACGTGTACTGCATCCTGTGGTCTGTCCACGTGTACTGCATCCTGTGGTCTGTCCACGTGTACTGTGTCCTGTGGTCTGTCCACGTGTACTGCACCCTGTGGTCTGTCCACGTGTACTGTGTCCTGGGGTTTGTCCATATGTATTGTGTCTTGGGGTCTGTCCACGTGTACTGTACCCTGGGGTCTGTCCACATGTACTGCGTCCTGTGGTCTGTCCATGTGTACTGCGTTCCAGGGTCTGTCCACGTGTACTGCATCCTGGGGTCTGTCCACGTGTACTGTGTCCTGTGGTCTGTCCACGTGTACTGTGTCCTGGGGTCTGTCCACGTGTACTGTGTCCTGGGGTCTATCCACGTGTACTGCATCCTGGGGTCTGTCCATGTGTACTGTGTCCTGGGGTCTATCCACGTGTACTGTACCCCGGGGTTTGTCCACATGTACTGCGTCCTGGGGTCTGTCCACGTGTACTGCATCCTGGGGTCTGTCCACGTGTACTGCGTCCTGGGGTCTGTCCACGTGTACTGCGCCCCGGGGTCTGTCCACGTGTACTGTATCCTGGGGTCTGTCCACGTATACTGCCACCTGGAGTCTGTCCATATGTACTGCGCCCCGTGGTCTGTCCACACCTGCTGCTATCCATGTCTGCCCACATGGTCTGTCCACATGGCACGGCTACCCGTGGTCTCTGTCTCCCGTGGCCCCCAGGTCTGTTGTGAGCACGAGGCATCCTGTTTGTTTAGCTGTTCCCTGGCCAGGTGCATTCTGGTGGGTTCCAGTTTTGGGTTTTTGAGCAGACCCATTTTGGATGTTGGTGTGTGGGGCTGGCGTGGGCATCAGTTTTCACCTTGCAGCTGTGGTCATGCTGTCCTGCATTTCTGGAGCCTGGGCCCCACATTCTCAGTGACGAAGCCTATGGGCTGGCTTCCCTTCCTGCTGGAAAGGGAAGTGCTTGTCTGCAGGGCCTGGGCCTTGAGGCTGTGGCAGGCCAGACGGCAGGAGTGGAAAGTGTGTGTGGGGGAGCCCACGCTCTGACAGCAGCAGGAAGTTTCCGTCCCGCGGGGACAGGGCCAAGGAGGTGCAGGAAGCAGAGGGCTCGTCCCGAGAGGACTGCGTGCTGACCCAGAGCCTGCGGGGCGTGGACTGGGCGGCTCCGTGTGGTGGCAGTCTGGCTCACCGCTGCTTGCGAGGTTGGAACAGGAAACGGTTAATAAGGTTTACAGATAAAAACTTTCTGTGCCTCTGAAACATTTCCCAGAAGTTAAAGGGAGAGCTGTTAATTATCTGCCCAACTTAAGACCTGAATTTAAATGTTCCTAAATGGGGCATTTCTACACATTATCACACACTTGTTCCTTAAAACAGTCATTTTTACCTCCAACCCCATTTACTAAGTGTTCTAGAATGCGGTTAGTAGTTGGAGTGTGCATATGATTCTGACTTTTCCAATGTGCATGTGTGTCGTATGTGTGTAGGTGTGTGTGTGTGTGTGTGTGTGTGTGTGTGTGCGCGCCTGTGGGTGCTGGTGTCTGTGCTGTGTGTGCTGTACCTTCTCACACAGATGCAGTGGTCCCGTGGCTGAGGAGCTGGCGGGGCTCACACTGGCTCACACTGGCTCACACTGGCTCACACTGCCCCTTCCAGGGCCTGGCCAGGGCCCAGCAGACGGGGGGGGGGTGGAGGGATGGCCACTGGACCACGGGGCACGGCAGTGGCTTTTCTGGCCGTGAGGTCCACTCTCAGGGCCACCCTGCTGCCAGCTGCCCAAGCCCACTCCAACTCTGGACAGAGCCCAGAGCCCAGAAACGGAGCCGTGGTGCCTGCCCGGGCAGGCCAGGGGGAGGACGCTGCTCTGCCCAGCACCGTGGGGGGAGGGCCGAGGCGCCGGCAGCTCTCGCAGCCTGTGTGGGGCTGGGGAGACTGCGCGTCAGGAGGACCGCGGGTTCTCCAGTGCTCCCACACCCATCGAAACTCCCTCCCAGGCCGGGGGCCCACAGCTCCAAACTTCCCCCGACCCGGGGCCAGAGTTGGGCCCCAGCGGTCACGCCTGCAGTCCTAACGCCTCCGAGGGCCACGGTTCAAGCCTGAACAGGGATGTCTCTCCAATCAGTCACCCAAAAGCTGTAAATGGAGTTGTGGCTCAAGTGGTAGAGCACTAGTCTTGAGCAAAAACACTCAGGGACAGCACCAAAGCCTTGAGTCCAAGTCCCAGACCTGTCAACAACAACAACAAAAACCTGAAAACCAAAACCAAACAAACAAAGACTCAGAACCCTCAGAGCCAGGC